ACTGAAGATGTCCCTATGAAGGTACGTAGGGAACAAGAGGACAAAACTAATGTATAGTAGCGCAAGCAGTGCTACTTAAATAGGACAAGGCGAATAGAGTTTAATGAGTATGAAACACTGAGTTAGATCAGTGATATACATGAAACAGGTTTCACTGGGTTGTATCAGTGACAAAGATGAAACGTGATAGAGATGAAACATGATGTAAGTGAAACATGATATAGGTGAAATGTGATAGATATGAAACACTGATGTAGGTGAAACACATTAAGTGATGGGATCAGTCATACAGTTACAGGGTCAACGATGAATAGTTAGGAAAAGAAAAAAGAACCCCCCTCTGCCACTGTAACAATTGCGTAATCCCATGGCTTTTGCTCTGGTAGTCATTCCACAGTGCTTTTGTTAAATACAGAAAGAAAGGTGGCCAAATACTCCTGGATATTGTTAGCAATGGTCTTGATTACTTGTAGAAGTTGATCCCAGTGAAAATGCATTTGTCCTGTGATCCAATTGATTATGGGATTAAAGCACTTGAACCATGAAAGTCCTAGGATAATTGGATTTCTGTCCAGTACTATTGCATAGGCTTCTATTTTCATTGGCTGATTAGATAGAGAGATGGTTAAGAAGACTTTGCATCTGATGGCTATGGCCTTATTTGGTGAGCTATTGATGTTAAACACTGGTCTAGGTGTGATATTTTGATGTTGGAGACCATGGTCTTGGGCAAAGCGAATATTAATATAATTCTTCATTGCTCCTGTGTCAAGCAATGCTTCAGTTGTGACAGTTTTGGTACAGGATTCAATATGTAGGGCAAATAAATAGATTTGTGAGCTAATCTTGCCTGATATAAATAATCCCTAGTGCCATTACTTCAATTCAACATCATGGCAGTCAAAGATCCTAAAAATCCTTCTCTCCAAAATGGATAGCTTGAATATATTCTTTGGCTATCCCCTCTTCATTGGATGAGTCCTTCATCTTGTCCATATCCTGAGTAGATGTATTGTGAGATTCAATTGCTCTGATGCAATTATTAGGACATTGACAACTCTGATGTCCTGGTTTATGACATCTAAAGCAGAGCTTCTTCTCCATATGATCACAGTGGTCTTTATCTGATAGATGTCTGATCCATTGATTGTGAGTGGGTAATTCCTTTGAAAATTCATCTCTGGTTTCAATTGTACAGTTGTGATCTACAAATTTATTGTGACTGAAGGAGCAAAGATGAGGGTATGAATAAGGGTTTATCACCAAAGAGATCGATCATGGATTGACAGATGGATTGAACACTGTCAAGGTATCCAACAGCTGTGGTGGGTAATAGAGGTTGAGCAGTAATTTTGATTAGGAGAGCAGGAGGAATGAGATGTTGGATTTCTCGTATTTTTCCTAATTCATTTAATCCACTGGCTTGTAACAGAGGTCAAAGTGTGGCAACAAATTGAAGTCCATCACCATTACATTTTATCCAGGTACATTTGCTGATCTCATTCAGTGCTGCCTGCATATCATTCTCTACTCTGAAAGTTTGGATGAAGGATTTCTTGAACTCTGCCCAGTTGGGAAGTCCCTGGAGCGGTGTATCATCTGATTTGGAGATGGGTTCTTCTGTATCAGTGATGATCTTATGGACAAAGAATTGAGCCAGTCCTTTGATGTAGGATAATGTGCACTAGACTTGGTCCTTATCAGACTGGATTTTCTTGGGATTCCCTGAGTAATACAGGTATAACTCATCTAAGAATTCCTTGCTCTTTCCTTTATCTCCTCCAAACTGGTTGGGTTTGTTTACTGCTCCGCTGTTGTTGTCTGACATATTGTCTTTGTCTTCCTGATTGCTAGGCTCTGGTTTGCTGTCATCTGGGTTATCCAGCTATTTCTCAGCTGGATCTTCTTCTGGCTCAGGATTTACCAGTGATCTGGGTGATTCCAGTTTGGGTTCTGCTTGAACAGGGACTGGGTGCTGTTTGGCTGGGAGTGGTCAGTTGATTGGACTTGGAGGGTTGAATATTCCAGAAAAGAAACTGGGTCTAACTATAGGACTGTTGCTTGCTGATTCACTTGGCAGGGGTTTGGTGGTTAACTGGAGTGGTGAAGTATGAGGTGTGGGGACTGTTACACTTCTGCTGGATGATGCCACCATGGAGGTAAGATATGATGGTGTAGGAGAGGGTTTCTCTGCTAGTGGGGGTACTACTGAATGAAGATTGTCTTGACTTCCAATAGGATAGAGATTTTCTGAGTGGGCTGAAAGAGTTTTATCTCTTCTCCTATTTGAGCAACTTGAATCTGAACAATACTGCCAAGAAGATCTGTTAAACCACTGGTCTGTTCTCTCCGACTTGTTGTACACATGTAATTTATTGTAACAGAGGAGTTGTCTTGCTTGGGACCTGGTTGTGACTGGTTGCTCTGCTGCTGTAGCCACTGTGACTTGTTGTGACTAGGAACTAGTGATCCTGGGAGAGTTTTGTCCTAATGTTAAGGGACTTAACAACTGAGGATCAGGAGTTCGACTTATGACTGTTACTGATACTTATATGCATAAGGCTGACATGTTATACTGAGACTTAGACTTGTAAACTGAGCCACTATAGCTAACAGTGGTTTGAGAGTGTATACTGGTCAAAGCAACACTTCAGACTGAGACTAGAAGAGACAACTGAGTCTATTACTGAAGACATCCCTATGAAGTGTATGTAGGGAAAACAAGAACAAAACCAAAGTACAGTAGCACAAGTAGTACGTCTTAAATAGAGTAAGGTAGATAGAGTTTAATCAGTTTGAAACATTCTGAGTTGAATCGGTGATGAGTATGAAAGATTTTCACTGGGTTGTATCAGTGATGAGGATGAAACATGATATAGGTGCAATGTGATAAGGGTGAAACACAATAGATATGAAACATGACGCAGGTGAAAAGCATCAAGTGATGTGATAGTACAGGGTCAAACAACAAACAGTAAGGAAGAAAAGAAAACCCCCCTCAAAACTGTAACAGCACCTCAATATTTTATATTCAAAAGAATACCTGAGATTCTTTGAATAAGAAAATGTATCTGCTTCTGCTGCATTGTATTCAAAAAAGAATAGCCCATCTTGTGCTGGAGCCCTTGCAGATTGCAATAGATGCAGTTCAAGTGTTGCTTGTTAATGAATACTGAGGAATCTTCTCGTTGATTCCTTTGATGGTGTGCCTGTTGAATACCCTCTGCTCTGGTGTAAGGCTGAGGCACATATTCAACTGTTTGTTCAGGTCTACTGTAGAACCTCTCAATGTCCTGTTGGACAGAATTTGTGATGGGGATAGGGGGGCATGTGTGGGAGTAAGGGTGCCTGTAGTGGTGACACTCTCCCAGGGTATCTCTAAGCATGGTCCTCCTGCTTCGCAGCTAAGGGGGAAACAGTCTTGAGGGTTCCAAATGCTCTCATCAATCTCCTTCTGAGGTCAAAGTGCTTACACTACTCTCGCTGCTGACAACTGTACTTGATGATATTAGATCCTCTACTATCTCTCCTTCTGCAGTCATGTACTCAAGTGGAGAGGCTTCTCTCACTCTCTGGGCCACAATCTCTGCTTCAGTTTCCTCAATTCCTTGGGCTAATCCTAAGAAATCTGGGGTGAGGCAGATTCAGTTGTCTTGGTATATGAGGGGCAGTGGAAGATATGCTTGTTACAGCCTTGAGGGGGGTTTTTGTTTCTTAGTTACTATTTGTCATTGACCCTGTACTATCACAACTGATCCCATCACTTGGTGTGTTTCACCTGCATCATTGTTTCATATATATTGTGCTTCACCTTTATCATGTTTCACTTACATTGCATTTCATTTATATCATGTTTTATCTTTATCACTGATACAACCCAGTGAAACTGTTTCATACTTATTAAACTCTATTTGTCTTACTCTATTTAAGGAGCATTACTTGCACTGCTGTACTTCAGTTTTATCCTCTTGTTTCCTACATGTGCTTCAAGGGATGTCTTCAGTAATAGACTCAGTTGTCCATTCAGTCCTAGTCCCTAGTCTGAAGCTTTGCTTCAACCAGTATATGCTCTCAAACCACTGTTAGTTACAGTGGCTCAGTCTACAAGCCTAGTACAGTTATAACACGTCAACCCTACACGTATAAGTCTTAGTATCAGTTATAAGTCAAACTCCTGACCCTCAGTCATTAGGTCCCTTAGCAATGCTGGTGGCAGTGGCAAGTATCTAGGCACAGAGGTACCGGATACTTCCTGTGCCAATGGGGGTGACAATGATAGTGCTAATGTGAGATCAAATTGTTTGGATCCCCATTTGACTCAGTTTCCATGCATTCTACTACTCCAGATACTACCTTGTGTTGAAGGGCAGCTAAAATAAGCTCTGCTTCAGATTCTCCTACTCTGTTCCAGAGTTCTTCTTTGGATTGACTTTGGGCAATCTTGATGACTTCAGACAACAAAGCAGCTCTTTGTGGGAACCACTGAGTGGGAATGGGTGCACAGGGGGATGCTGGTAGTGGTGTTCTGCTAACCTCTACTTCTTCTTGAACTTCTGGATACTCCTGTCTGATCCTAATAGACTCTCTAAGAGTCCCTGCTAGCCTGATGTACTCCCTTTAGAGCTCTTGCTAACCCTGGGTCTGTAATCCAGTGGCAAAGAGACTAGCAATTTGTTGTTTGACAAATTCTAGTTGCTCAGGGGTGGTCCCAAAGAAGAGATAGAAGGAAGGGGAAGGGGTATGAGTTTCTTGAAGGTCCTGAGAGGCAATGGGGAGAGTGTGCGATGACACTTCCTAGATGGGATAAGTTTATCTGTAATTCAATGAACAGACCAAAAGGAAGGTTGATGGTGATGACAACTGTTGAATAGGATAGACTTTGTCTAATGTCAAGGTATCTCCCCTGATACCTGAGTAAAGCAAAACCCCTAACCCTAACACTCACTTGTGAGGTATAGAAGTTACTAAGAATTGGCAGTGGGTGGCTTAGTTCTCAGGGAGCAGTTAGCTCAGAGAATGCTTTGTAGGTTGAGAGATGGTAGAGAAGAGACAAAGTCTGCCTCTCTACAATGTATTGTTCTGGTCCTTATACATAAGGAGCCAGACCCCTAATACTACTGGTAGTACACCTCACACCTAGGCTGACTGATGCTCTACATATGCCATTGGCTATCTAAGAATACCTGACATGTGAACACTCTACTCAAAACCATCAACAACAAAATCCAAAGAGCTGTTGCACAATTACATGGAGCTCTGGATGCCTGCACCAAACAACTCTATGTGGCCAATCTAATAGCAAGACTAGACCAACATAAATTTGTTTCTATAAACCCATCTAGTCACCACATACAATGTTAGCTGTTACAGTCTCAGGGGGGGTTTTTTTTCTTTCTCGCCTCATCCTCATTGACCCTGTACAATCTAACTATAGCAGATATCTATTTTATTGATCTACTCCATCTCTATCTATCTGTCATTGTTCACATTGCTGATTTATCTCAGTTGTCACCTTCTCAATCCCCATCTATCAGTTCCTTGATTCAACTCATCAACTGATATATCATTACAGTTTACACTGACGGAACACTCTTTTATTTCTAAAAGTCTTGTCTATTTAAACCTTAGTCTCTATACCATTGTATGTCACACAAAGACTCACCATGACTGCACCCTAGAACCTAACCCTAACCCTAACAATACTCAATGTCCGACAGTTTCTGAGTAAAAGGCTTGAGGGTGGTTTACTTTTAGAGGATGAATATGACTGAAACAAGTAAATGACTATAACTAGTCTGGCCCTAACTGGTGCAGACCTACTGG